GTTTTCTATGGGGTTAAGATCATGCGAGTTGTCTGGCTATAGCAATACATCAACTAAGCCATAACAGTTTTTATTGTGTTGCAAGTTGCACCATCTTGCATAAATATAAGATTTTTGACATTATTTTTAATTTTTTTTTTGTCAATTTTTGACTTGTTTGGCTAGACATCAATCCCTCTTCTTTTAGCCTTCTACAAATGGTCCGGTCTGATACAACAATTACAGCTTCATGGATAATCTTAGTGGCTTTTTTTCTCTTTTCCAGGCAGATATTTCTGATTATACTGTCCGCTTTTGGTGTTTTCTTGCGTTTAAAAGGTGGTCTCCTTGGACCAAACTATTCCCCTGTATCAATTCTTTTTCTTACTTGCATTACGGTTTGGTAAGAAACCTTTGCGGTTTGTGCAATTTTTCATTGAGAATAATTTGTAATTTGTAAAAGACATGTTTATCAATTTTTAATGTAACTATAATAATAATAACAATGTATAATGCAGGTTGTTAATCAATGGTTTATAATCAAAATTTAATATGGCTGGCGATAAAGGTAAAGAGAAGTTCAAAGGAACAAACATTAGGTATTTACTTGTAAGTTATGTGTAAAATTATATATTTTTTAAAAATCACAGTTCGTTTTTTTAATGCTAATTTATTTTTTTAACTTTTTGATGTATTTGATACAAATTACTCAGGCAATACCTTTTTTATAGAGAGAGTTTTGTCAATTAAAGTGACTGCTACAGTTGCCGAAAGAAGAAAAGGAATAATGACTTTATTAAAATACGCACTCGACAGATCAAATGGTGGTAGTCGCCGCATAAAAGGCAATTCACCCGATGTATAACATTCATACTTTTTCCTAGTTGTTCTGGAACTATTGATATTAGTTATTATTGATAAATTGATAAATATATTACTGATAAATAAAACTTTTTTTTTCAAACATTTTATTTTAAAGTCCGTTGAAGCAATTTAGTTGTATCTGATTAATTTACGTGAAATATAATACCCTCTGCGCAAATTATTGCTTTTTTATTGTGTTATTTTATTGCAGTTAAAGTTGAGATAATTTTTTAGTTAATTGGATTTAACCAAAATAAAAAACGAAAATCAACGTTGAATTTACGTTGTTTCAACGTTGTTCTAACGTCTTATCAACTACGTATCAATCGAATATATCACCTATTCAAAGTTGAAATATGGTTGATATGTAGTCGATAAGACGTTAGATCAACGTTGAAACGGCGTAATCATCGACGTTGTTTCAACGTCGTAGTTTTCGACGTCGGATTTTATTTCCAATTCAACCAAATTTTAACGTTGTTTCAACGTGGTATATGGTCGGTTTGCGACGTTGTTTCAACGTTATTTCAACGTCATTGTGCCTGCTGGGACGTTTGAAAAAACAAAGAAACATGCAAAAAACATTATTATGCAAGGTTGTTGGAAAAAACACGCGGAAACACACAAAAGACTTGGAACGTGATTAAGCAGATAATCGGTAAAAATAAATATCCAAAAAATAATTTGCCACAAAAGCTATATAAAAAATAATTTGCCACAAAAACTATAAACTATTAAAAAACTATTAACTATTAAACTATTATAGTTAACGGGAAAATAATTTATAATAAAGAAGTCTTAGTTAAAAAGCTCAATAAATTTTTTCTTGATATTTGCCCAACTTTAGCTGATAAAATTCCAAAAAAACACCTCAAACTTTGAATCTTATATGAAATCAATCAATACATCTATGAAAGAAGTAAAATTAAACATAAATGAGTTGCGAAATGCATTCAGCTGTCTAAAAAGTAATAAATGCGCTGGAATAGATAATATTAAGGTGAATGTTGTTAAAGCAGTGTTTGATATTATTGAACCGTCACTGTTTTACATTTTTAACCTTTCACTATAATCCGGTATTGTACCGGAGAAATTAAAATTTGCTAAGATCATACCTATTTTTAAATCTGGCGATATTTTTAAATCACGATTATGTCTAATTATAGACCTATTTCTGTCTTACCATGTTTCTCAAAATTGTTAGAACGAATTATGCATGATAGACTTAATACTTATTTAACTGAGAACAATATAATGTATAACAAACAATTTTGGTTCAAAAAGAATCATTCAACTGATCATGCGGTAGTCGATCTAATAAATTATATATCCAATGGGTTTAATAATAATTCCTATACATTAGGAGTTTTTATTGATTTGTAAAAAGCATTTGACACTGTAAACCACGATATTCTTTTAAAAAAACTAGAACTGTATGGAATACTTAACAATAACTTACTATGGTTTAAAAGTTACCTGTCAAACAGAAAACACTGCATATTATATACAGCAAATGAAAGTGAAAATCATATTATAACTTGTGGTGTTCCCCAGGGTTCCCCAAAGTTTTAAATGTTATTTTGTTTGCTGATGATTTGAATTTTTTTTACTCACACAATAATATAAAAGAACTGTTTAGAATATCTAACGAAGAATTATTAAAAATAAATGACTGGATTACAAATAATAAACTTTCATTAAATGGTGAGAAAACTAAATTTATCTTGTTCCACAAACCTCGTAGGGGAGATAACCTTTCTCTAAAATTACCCAATCTCTTTATGAATAAAACAATTGTTAAAAGAGAGTCAACTGTTAACTTTCTAGGAGTGATTATAGATGAAAATTTATCATGGAAATATCATATTAAATCTATTGAAAACAAAATCTTCAAAAATATTTCAATGTTATATAAAATTAAACCATTTCTTAATATTGAGTCTTTAAAAATTATATATTTTTCATTTATTCATAGTTATCTTTCTTATTGCAATATTGTATGGGGAAGTACTAATTATGGGAAACTTAAAAAAATCTATAACAAACAAAAACATGCATGTAGGATTATATTTGGCGTTAACAGAACTGTTAATGGTGAATCTCTTCTAAGCGAACTTAATGTACTTAATGTTTATAAAATTAATATATGCCAAGTTATGCTTCTAATGTTTAAATCAAAACATGGTTTTTCTCCTAATATATTTCACTCTTACTTCACTGAAATTACTCATAAATACCCCACAAAATTTTCAGTTGATATGTTTGTTATTCCAAGATCTTATTTAAAACTCAGCTCATTTCAATACCGTGGACCATTTATATGGAAAAGTTTTTTAAAAAATATTATTAAAAATAAAACTCTTCTGAACTTCTCCCTAGAACAATTCAAAAAAGAATCTAAACGTTTTCTATTAGGAAAAAACTTCGATTTTGAAAACTTCTTTTAAAAATAGTGCCTAAAATAATTAAACTGAAAAAGTCATCACGACTTTCTTATTTTTGTCTTGATTTATTTCTTATCTATAAATAATATATATATATATATATATATATATATATATATATATATATATATATATATATATATATATATATATATATATATATATAACTAAAAAAAAATGTTTATTTATATATCTTATTATACGATTTACTACTTGTAATATATTGTGTTATATTTTGTAATTTTTAACTTGTTACATAAACTGAAGACAACAATGTAAACGGGGCTTGGCGATAAGACAATATACGATTTCTTCTTATTTTTAAAATCGAAGTTTTTTCCTCATATTATATATGTACGATCTTTCTTATTGTAAATTTTATCAAACGGCAAAGAAAAAAAAAAAAAAAAAAAAAAAAAAAAGTATTTGTTTATATTATTATGTAGTTATTCTCCTGCGGAGATAATAAAATTTATAGAAGATGTTGGCGTAAATGTAATTAAGTATAAGAAAAAAAAGCATTATACGAGCAAGAACGAGCAAGTCACGAAATAATAAAAAATTTAAAAAATTATGAAAAAAAAACAAACGAGTTTTTGATTTTTCTGTACATACAAATACCATAACGCATTGCTTAATGGGGAAAGGTCAGTTAAATAAAAGAATTATGGTAGCAGGCTGCACAGTGGGCGAGATAATGGACAAAACTATTTTTCAAAATGTGAAAATATAAGAATTTTTTTTTCGTTTAGTGTTGTTAAGAGCCATTACCTGAGAAATATAGGCAAAATTGGCAAAGTCTGGAAGTGATGTCTTCAAAATCTCTTCATTTTCAGATATCTTATAGAAAACAATGAAATTAGGCCACAGTTAAATTTTTTTTCAAAAACTCCCATTATTTGCGGAGATATCGGGGGCTGAAATTTGGCCTATTTTGTAAAAATATTGGTGCATGGAACGGAATTACTACTTTTAAGGGCAATTTTAGCAATATGAATTTGAGAAACTCATTTATTTTTCTTATTTCTACTACTCTGAGTGGATTTCTCTGGTTAAAATAAAAATTCAAAATGTTTACATTTTTTATTGTCTAGAAATCACGGTTCAAAACCGCTAAATTTGAAATTTTACCCGTACTTTGACCATTTATATCTCCTAAGGCCATTACTTGCACATAATTTACTTAACTGCTTTTGAAAGCCAATAAGGTATACATTGAATTTATAGAAAAAAAGTTATGAGTATGCAAGAGCCTGGGAAAGAGTAAGCTTCCAAAAATGAATTTTCGCGGTTAATACGCTTTGTTAGATTACAAATAACAATCGTGGCCTTAGGTCTGCCATGAAATGTATAAGTTATTTCGTTTCCTTATACATGCATCTTCCAATATCTGAAAAAAAAATTCATGTGCTTAAGCGATAAAAAGCCTAGAGAAGTCCTAGAAATAGTCTAATTTTGCCACATTCTCAACCAACAAAATACCCTAGCAACGACATAGATATGCTTAGCAACGGCTACTTTTACTCTTTAATAGTTAGTACTCAAATTAAAAATAAATAAAAAATACATTTTTATAACAAAAAACTGTATAAAAGCGCTTGATAAAAGTTATTTTTTAAGCTTCTTTAATGAGAAAAAGATCCAAACATCACACACTTTGAAGTGTTTATATCATTGTTAAAACAATTATGTAAATTTCGGATAAATGTTTTTTCAAATACAACTTGTTTAAGAAAGCAAACCAAATAAAGTTTTAAAGAAGTTTATCTGTCAATCTGAATTTCTATGTTATACATATCGTCTATTGAGAGAGAATAGTCCCCTCTTTGATTAGTTGGTGTTGGTGCATCAATCCTACAAATAACGTCAAGATATAAATATTGGAGAATATTTTCCTTGGTTGGCCACTTGAAACAGTTTTTTCCAGGTGTAGTAGAATATTCCATACAAGAAACATGAACATTGTCACGATTGACCTACAGGGTTAAGTTAAAAGTAAAACAATGTCTAATCATTGGTGCTTTCTGAATATTTCTTACATTTAAATGTTGTGGTTAATAAATTAATAATTATATAACTTAATAAAAAAGATCTAATACTCAAAAATTAAATATTTTGATGTTATAACGTCTTACACTTTGAATTATTGCAGGATACCACTGCATATTATATTCAATAGCAACCCAATCACCAATTTGAAAATCAGCTGCTAACTCCTTTGCTATGAGCTGAATATCGTTGTTTAAATCATCATCTTTATTTTGACTTGTATGTCTCGCATCATCAGTCAGATCAATCATGTCATCAGTTAGATTAGCATCTTCACAAAAAATGGTAACTAGCTTTCTTTCTTTTTTTTGTTTACTCCATCTAAAAAAATGTACTTGAAGCATTAAGGTAAATTCAAAATATTTATCTTAAAACTCAAGAAAAGAATAAAATTAAATTTTATATCTATCATACTTTGGGTATCAGTAAACATAGAAGTAAATTTACTCGCCTAGAGAATAATGATCGAATTTGTTGAGTTGTCACATATTCACTTGGCTTTAACTTTGTCCTCAGCTGCTGGTGAACCTGCTCTGGGCTCATTTTTTTCCCTTGTTCTTCTCCAGACATAAACATCTGCATTAACAATGTTTTCTGCTTTGAAGAATATCTGAACACTTTTCTTTTTGGTAATGCCCACCCAGTGATGTCTGTGAAGTTTTCAATCCCTTTAATGACAGATTGGGATGACGGCAAATAATCATAAGAATTTAGGTTTGAAATTTTCATTTTGTTGATATAAGATAGTTTTGCTCTGTCTACCATTGATTTCTTCACAGATTGAAAATTGTGGTTTTCTGATAACAAGTGTACTTCTAATGATTCATTGTCAAAAAATGAATCAGTGCAACCAAATTGTGTACAAAACTTTAAAGTGTTAACTCTTCTATCAACACGTGGTTTTTTGGAAATTGTTGGGGCAGTATAAATTTTGCAAGTCGAACTAAAGGGCTTAACAATTTCAACTGAAGTATGGAATTTCACATTTGTATAGTTCCATTTTTTACCTTTACCAATTCGGAAATATCTCCACATTATCATGTGATCAGGGAAAAACTGAAAAGAATGATAACTGCTTATGTTGAGAATCAGATTTGATCCTGATAAAATAGAGGCTTTGGAATTTATTATAACTACAGCAACATCAGCGTTTTGAATTCCTTTACCATTATGAAGAGCCTCATAAAGATCTTCTGCAGTCAATTTCTGCAGTCAATAAATTGTTTCCTGCGTCAACAAAACTCCTAATGACACATTTCACTCCTGCTGACTCTCTATCACATTGATCTTTTCCACGCGAAGGCTCGTTGTAATCATACATCTTAAGGAAAAATTGTTTTGCTTTGCAAACATTATAAAGGGCTTCTAAGTAGAAGTTTCCATGATAAGATGATGCATTATTTGACTTAGCATGAATATTCTTTAAATAAGGAAAATCTTTTTTTAACTTTGGCCAAAACAACATCAGCGAGACAGAGTACATCAACAAGGCTTTGCTCACATCTATATACAGCAGTAAAATACACTTTTTTTTTCATTCGACCATTTTCATAGAAGAAGAAGACATAAACATGTAGAGTCATTCCTTTTTTCCCAAAATATTCTTTTTGGCCTTCACGGAATTTAGCGGGCAATATTTTTTGACAAAAATCCTTTAGCCAAAATCCTGTTTCCTTATCAAGTTGCTCAAAAGCCATTATTTTGGCCATTTTTTGCTGCGCATCACGAATTTGATGTTTCATATAGGCTTCAACATCTTCTGTAGCCACATTTAAATCATATAGTAGATCTTCATCTTCACTTTGTATAACCAACTCACGAACCTGATTGATTACTGAAATGAGGTCAGTACAGTCAATGCATTGTTCATCGTCAGCGGTTATGTTTAATTGGTTTAAGTCCGGATCTATATCCGAAAGGGCAAATGAAGTTGAGTGACTATGCAAAGTTGAATTTTCACTACATTTGGAAGGATAATTACTCTTCAGATACTTTTTACCTTTTTCAAGAAACTTAGTAACAATTTTATATTTCCACTTCTCAGAAATGGCAATTAATGTTTGGAAACCGTTCATGCCAGCTGCTGTAACATCATCAAGACCAGCTAAAGATTTCCTTTGAGAAGGTTTTATTCCACAAAGAATTCTCCATAAAAAACTATCTGACATAGGGACATAATTAGTTTCTAGGCAAATTTCTTTGTAAAATGTGATTGTATGGCTAAACTTCATCATCAAAATGGCATTAGCCACTTTTTATTTCTCTCCGTTGTCAAACTTTATTTTATTTATACCATATGCTACATCTTGAAGCAGACCTCGAGAAAATAAAAATTCCAAAAAATGTTCAATTTTTTCTTGAGGCATTCGGCATATTTTTACCTTACCCTTCTTTGGTATGGAAAGTCCAATGTTTTCTTTCTGCAACTTGCGTCCTTTTTCTATTTGATGTTTTCTGCAATCAAAGACTTTCATTAATGTCTCTTTAGTGTACTTATTATGATTAACAACTGAAAGCAAAAGAATTTTTCCTAAAGAATCGCTTTCTTGGAACATCTTAACTTGTACAATTAGGTCTTCTGGAACCATTTCAGTTGCAACATTTTCATCTTCACTGTTTAATACTTGGGTTATAAGTGATTCTGATTGACCAGGTGCAATTGCTTCAGCAAATATCTTCTCGAGCTGCACTTTACATTTCTCAAATTTTTTTTTAACTTTCTGTTTAGTTCCTTGTGTTAAGTCTTCTATTCGCTTTTGCGTTATGTGAAAAGACAGTGGACTTGCTCCTAGTGCTTCACACAAAGAACTAGCTTTTAATTTTGATTCTTCGATGGTCTTATCTGAAATGATTGCTAAATCTGGAACATAAACTTTATCAACATAAGAACTAGACTTTACTGTTGGAATTGGTTCTATCATGTCAATAATATTATCTATAGAAATAGTTTTTAGGTGCTTGAAGCAAAATACGGCTCCAATAGGTAGCGATGAATTACTTTTATTATAAGTAGCAAGGGTATTCAAAGGTAAGGATCTAATTTTTGGTGCTTTTTTACCAACTTGAAATATATGACTTGGGTATTGACATCTGTTTGGCGGCTTCCATCCAATACCAAAAGAAAAACGGTGGTATGCACATAACCAGTTGTCGCATGAAAGATAAGTTTGTAATCGACTTTCAATTAGAGTTTTTTCATTATACTGGCTTGTCTGCGGTGACTATAAAATAGTAATGTTAAATTTGTCATCTATTTGTTGGAGGTATTGTTGCTTATAATTAAAAATATATATATTAATTGATAAATTATACCTTTAGTACTTGTAAATGATTACTTATGTCAGCAGTTAATTCATTAATTTGAAAGATCCCATGTTGTTTCCAACGCTTAAAAGGGCCACAAGAAGTCTGTCCTTTATCAAAATACACGCATTTTTCATAGAGACTGACTATATTGTTGCTCTCTGACATTTTGTATTTAACTTTTATTTTTTATTTTATTATTTTTTATTGAATAAACAAAAGATAACAAAACAAAAAAACTTTATTTCGTAGTTTCTCATCTCATGCTATGGCTATTTATTAAATTCATGTGCTAATTCTTCGAGAAGAATGTGTCTCCAAGGAAATAGTCTTGCAATCATTAATAATTGTCTAAAGAAAGTATTACAAATGACTGCCCAAAGGAAATTGCTTGTGTAGCAATCATTACAGTCATTAAAAAAAGTATCTTTAATGTCACTTCCTTACTTTGGTTATTACACTTTTGCCATCGAATTCTTTGAACCTATTGTTGCGCATTTTGTTACATTAAAAAAGCTTAAAAAATAATTTTTATCAAGCACTTTTGTACAGTTTATACAGTTTTGTTATAAAAATGTATTTTTTATTTATTTTTAATTTGAGTACTAACTATTAAAGAGTAAAAGTAGCCGTTGCTAAGCATATCTATGTCGTTGCTAGGGTATTTTGTTGGTTAAGAATATGGCAAAATTAGACTATTTTTAGGACTTCTCTAGGCTTTTTATCGCTTAAGCACATGGATTTTTTTTCAGATATTGGAAGATGCATGTATAAGGTAACAAAATAACTTATACGTTTCATGGCAGACCTAAGGCCACGATTGTTATTTGTAATCTAACAAAGCGTATTAACCGCGAAAATTCATTTTTGGAAGCTTACTCTTTCTCAGGCTCTTGCATACTCATAATTTTTTTTCTATAAATTTTTTTTTCAAAAACAGTTAAGTAAATTATGTGCAAGTAATGGCCTTAGGAGAAAGTTTTAGAGGGAGTGCTGTAATTTTGTAATATATGTAAATTTGTAAACTTAATATATTATAACAAACTTCATCTTTAAATTAAAGTATTGTAAACCAGTGGGTTGGGAAGATCAAGAAAGTTAGGTAGGTCGAAAAAAAAAAGGGGGCTAAACCAGTCAGAGTTAGAATTAGAATGAAAAATAAGAATTTTAGGTTGGTTGGGGGAGCGATTGTCCCCTTTGCCCCCTGTTTTTACGACAGTGTGGTAAACATTATATTACATTTATAGCAAAGATAAAATATTGCACCTATAAATTATTTATACTGCACTGTATCTACACCAACAGTAATTCAAATTAAATTAACAAAATTGCTTCATGTGGAAGTTGAATTTTTTTAGAATTTGATAGTGGTTTTCTCAAACTGCTAATACATGGATCAGAAGAACATAGTAATCGTCTTAGTAAGTCTTCATTATTCTTCACTCTGGACATTTAATGACTAAAATTGGAAGAGACATTTTTCTTATAATTGAATGACCATGAAAAATAATTTTATGAATACTTGCTGGCATTTAATACCATGGATTATACCGTAGCTTTTTGGTTAATAAAATATACTGATTTATTTTTTTGTCAAAAGCCTTGTTTTTGAGATCAATAAAAACGCTTAAAGTATATTTATTTTCATAGAAAGATTTAAAAATATTAAAGATGATCAATTGCCTGATTTAAATTGTTTATAACAAAAAATGTAATTAATATCTAAGAAATAGTATGGTATTTTATACATTATACGTTCTAGTATTTTGAAAAGCATAGTAATTTTGAAAAGCATAGTAATTTGAAATACAAATTGCCACTCCAGATTTTGGAACTGGTATCACCTTTGCAACTTTTAGTTTACCAGGAAAGATTTCTTGTTCTAAAGAAAGACTGAAAATGTACAAAAGCAAAGTTTTTACATAAAATATTAATTTAATTATTATACTGCTACTTATATCATTTATTTGACTTGACCTTTGTTTGATC